TGAACTTTGGTAGTTTGATCCTGGATCAAATTCCAACAAACAGACTGGGTGCATGGGTATTTTCTTGATGTTCCCCCCTGTGTATAACGTGAATAATTAAAGATAGTTTCCCTTATAGAAGTCAACCATGGAAACATTCCTCCGTGTAGACAAATAGCTTTAGTGTCTTTTGGCATCATTCAATAAATCTGATGTTAAGATCCATCTGATAAGTTACAGCTTTGCCCCTAACCAGAAAGTATTACAAGTGTATTGATTATACTTAATCTGGAGCTAAAATAAAAACAGTTTCATAACGTTAATTGTTTTTTAGCCCAAAGGAATAGAAGCTCAAAAGCCCAGAAGAGCTATTATAGATAGATTACTATAGCTCTGCTGCATTATTAATGTGATTAAAAGCGCAACCTATTTATTATCGCTTTATATCTTGAGGCAAGTTGCTCTTGAATGGCAACATTACTAATATATCATCAGAATATGTCTGTTTTAAAAATATTTTAGTTCTGTTGTCAAAAGAGATAAACGGAGTTCTTAAAAGAAACATTTTGGATTTTATTTATTTTATCCAACAAACCCAGAAGAGCTATCAGTCTCAAAACGGGATTTTGCGTTGAATCACTATAAAAGTTTGAATCATTTTTCAAATTGTTTCCACCAAATATTATAGGTCTCTATTATATTTAAAGAAAATAAATAATGAACAATTTGCATGAATGAATGCATGTTTTCCACATTGTGAAAAACCAACGGTGCCTAGAACCATCAAATTTTGAATAATAGTCATCCATCCGAATATGGACACTTGGAATCCCGAATTTGCAATTTGGATTTTGTTTTATTGTGTACTTCATATTTTGTAAAATTTTAACGTATTTTTGATTAACAAACCCAATGATTTCAAAGCGAGCAGTGACAACATATATGGAAAAAAATTAAACTTTAGCGCGCGAGACAATTTATCGCAAATTCTAAAAATAGTCTGTTTTTAAATATTTTTAGCCCAAATGCTCTCGAAACGTTTATGTAAGTGAAAAAAACACCCTTTTGGGCGTAATATAAAATCTGAAAGCCTTCAGATTTTGTTTTCCCCCCAGGCTGAAAATTTGGATTCATCCTTCGATGGCATTTTCATTCGATGATTGATCGATTTGATCATTCGATGACATTTTCCTCTTATTTCCTGTCTCTACTGTATTCTGGTAATTTTCATAATACTTTTAACTCACATAGGTGTTTTCATGATACCTCTATGTAAAATGAGGGCTATTAAAGTAGTTGCCTCTAAATATTCAAGTGAAAGGGAAGTTAAACATCTCTCGTTTTGAATTAAAAACTAAAAGCAATGAACGTTGTAAACCGTGATGATGCCGTTTTGGTTGAAATAATCGCAGCGAAAATATCGCCAGTGAAATCATCGTAAAGAGAAAATAAAAAGTATAAAACATCGTGAGAGGAGGAAAACACGTAAGGATTCACAATTTCAAAACGTTACCGTACAAAAAAACTCGATGAAAAAAGTAAAGCGAGATCAAAATATCGCGATTTCGGGTAATACTGGTAAAAGAACACTCACGTAAAAAGTAAGACAATGGCAAATGGAAGGCATACTTTTGTATAATTTTGAGCTTCTTAGACGTATAAAAAGTCGCTGAAAATAAGAAAACATTTGTTATGTTTTGCAATACTTTATAGATTTTGTGTTTTATGGGTAACCATATGCAACGATGCTTCGAAATTGTGAAGTTTTATTGCTTCTTTATTTTTATGTTTCGTATTATGACATCTTTAATTTTGCGAACCCTTTTTCTTGCTTTCTTTTCGTTTTCCTGAAGCTTTATTCAGCAATGCTTCTTCCTTCTTTAGTTTCTTTCCTCCGCAATGTTTTCTTTCGAGATATTTTCTTTTGGATGTTTTCACTGAGAACTGTAAAAATACGCTTAGATAAATCGGAAATTAGGTCTGTTTTGCTAAACAATTAACCGAGTTGTGAAAGGTTCTTGAAGAAAATAAAATAACATTTCTGTGAATACCAGAAATGATTTAAAAATAAAATAGCTTCATTGCTTAATAGTCTACTTCCTTCCATAATTTTCCCATAAGCAACCGAGCGGTAACGTCTGTAGTCATTCCACCCGAGACGACTCAGGCCGAATGACTAGAACTCGTCCGAGGCAACCGGGAGTTTTCGTGGTATTTTCCATGTTTAATTTGAATACCAGCCAGATCTCCTTAAAAAGCTGCCCGCGAAGACATTCCTCACACACAGAAGACACGAAAACAAGTAGATGTCCCTTGAATACTTTGCCAAAATACAAATAATCCATAATAATAATTCTTTCCAAAAACTATGTACAGTATAAACATAACGTCTATATGACTACGCAAAAAATATTCCACGTGCTCATTTTTATTGTCATATTTACTTTTATGTGATGGGCTTGAATTGAACAATTAAATCTCAAGTGATAATTGTATTGCATTACAAGCGATGGTAAAAGGCGTGAAAACAGGCATGAGGAGAAGCAGCATATAATACATGTCCCCATATCACATGGAAAGGAAAATAAATGTGAAGCTTCTTTGCATTTGAACAAAATGCGTTCTACACGAAAGTCAAAACCATTTGTTGATTTTAAATTTCCATATCCTCCCTAAATCTTTTCGACTGACGAATTAAATAACCATAAACGTTTTGAAATTTCAAAGTGAACCTGATAAGTGTTATTGTTCACTATGCAGGGTATTTGTAAATGAATATAGGAGTTATAACGCTTTGTAATATTTATTACGTAAAACTTAAAATTATAATTAATAAATTAAATGAAAGAGCAACTCAAACAAATCTGTTTCTTGGTGCGCGCATGCGTCAGAAAGCGCTAGTAGCAAAAATGACGACTAGTGAATAGAAAGCTTTTTGTGTTCTGCAGTTTGCAAAGACCGAATCTGTAGTTACTGTGCAACAAGCGTTCCAGATTAAGTTTAGATGTGATCCCCTAAGTGATAATAACATCCGTAGATAGTATCATGAGTTTGAAAATACTAGCTCCCTTTGCAAAGTGAAGAGTACGGGACGACCAGAGGTTAGATGAACCAAGGGTCTTCTACTTGATGTGACGAAAGGTGCTCACATTTGAACTCTTGTAAGCTTGTAAGTATAACTGTTTGAGTTGCTCTTTCATTTTATGTATTCATTATAACTTTAAGTTTTACGTAATAAATACTACAAAGCGTTAAAACCCCGATATTACTTTAGAAACACCCTGTATTTCGTCTAAAATAATTAGAAGTTCTATATTTGAACAATTGATCTATTACAAATTCATAGATTATACGAGTAATACATCACTAAGCATACACTGGAGGACAATTGCTAAAGACAGATGGTAACAGCAGCGATAGCAACCTCAAAATGGAAGGCAGAAAAGCTCGCAAATTAGCATAAGTGGGCGGGATACAGTAAGACGTGTTGTGCGTATGCAAATTTTGGATTGCCAAAGTTTGCGCTGATAAAAGAGATAAAGGATTTGACGTTTACTGACTTTTGTTGTTCTAAAGCAAAATTATCGAGAAAGAATCAATTGACGAGTTTTCAATTTTCAATATGTCTTTCCGACATCACTTACTGGAAGATTTTACGCGTGGCCGTATTATTGACAAGATTGAAAAAGAACGAAAAATGACAGATGTTGCTAAGGGGTTCAGAGTCAGCCACAATATTGTGGCTGGCTGGATGGGTGTTTTCGTGGTTTTCCCCATATGTAACGTGTATACGAGCCAGTTTCCCTTAGAAAGTCCTCCACGAAGGTATCCCTAGTGTGCTTTGCCATAATTAAGCCTAGTGCCAGATAGCCCTAGTGGGCTTTGCCATAATTAAATACACCAAAACCAACACCACCATTTCAGACAAATGGAATATGTAGCAAATGTGACAGAGCATGTCGTGTTCGTAGTACGACACCTGTAGAAGATAGGTGCATAGTGCTATCGACGAAAGAACCGGCGTAGCACAGCTATTGAGGTGGCAAATCAGTTACTTGCTGCTACTGGCACGCAAATCTCCCGAAAAACTGTAGCCAGACGTTCGCATCAACGAGGACTATATGCCTACCGACCTAATGTATGAATTCCATTGCAAAGACAGCAAAGTGCCGCTTGTTTGCAATGGTAACGCGAGCATCGTAATTGGACTCAATAGAACTGGGTTTGTGTACATCCTTAGATGAGAGTATGTTTAGTCTATTACTGGATTATAGATGCCAACTAATCTGGCATGAGAGTGGTACTACTTATCGTCCAGAAAATGCCCATAAAAGGACCAATATCCGGTATGCAGTATCATGGTATGTGTCGGTACTATGATCAATGGCCGCACGCCTCTACATGCGGTTGCAGCTGGGACTAAAACTGCATAATGATACATTAATGATGTTCTGCTGCTTCATATTCGCACGTTCCGTGGTGCTGTCCGTGTTAAATTTGTTTTCATGAATGGAAACACAACATGTCATTGAATCCCATTGATAATGTTTGGGATGCTTTGGGGAGGAATCTTGCTGGTCGACAATTCTTTCCATGCGGATCATATCCCTAATTGACCTCTTACGCCAGAATGCCTGCGGAATGTATTTGCATTTTTTACACTTTTACGTATGGAACACAATATGACCATTGTGTCCCTTGAACACTTTAAAGCCTTCTAGATTTCAGAGCACAGTAAATTATCTTTATTGTTATATCCTAGTATTATGGCATTATTTTATTTCACTTTGGCATCCAAAAGCACTTACTTTTTAACGCGGTATGTAGCCGTTTGTGATCCGTCCTTAGCAACTGTCCATCAGTGTATTTAATACTACATAAAGATAAAAACAATGAAATTTAAATTAGTGTAGAAAAAATTTAATTAAAATAATGATTGGAAGGAATTTAAATTATTGCAGGTACAGTCTGCATGAAAAAGTTGCGGAGAATACCGTGGAATACAGTAAATGAGTACTAACCTCCATAATGAGTTTTAGTCCGTTGGAATCCGTTATTCGGCATTCTTGCTTTGCTTCTCGAAGGAGATTGATGAACCATGTGCAGGGTATCCAGAAAGTATTAAATTCTGTGGATGGCACTGAATTCAGCATTTCAAGTTCCAGTTTTGTCATGAATCCTTAAAAGTAAACAATTCCGTAAACATTGGATAGTGGGGATAGTTATAAGTAAGAGTAAATCTCAAACACTGAAGATATATTTGAAGTGCACTTGTGTAAACATAAGAAAAGTAGTAGAGCATTAAAAATGAATTTAGCAAAGAAAGAGTATTATATCACAGCGGCATGTCTACACTTAGATTTTGTAATTTATGCATTATGAACTAAGATTGCTGAAAAACAGCAGGACAGTAAAATCCAAGTTATCTAAACCGTTATTAATTAAGAAAAATACATACACTAGTTTTTTTTTACAATTTACTAAAACTGTGCTGTGAATGGTGACAAGAGCTCGCGAAAAATCCATAGGAGAATTTTCATAAATTGTTTAAAGGTCTGCGAAATAGTTCTTTTTTATACAGAAGAGTAGCAAGAAAGTACATATGCCGATATTTTGATGCTAAAACTCTTCCTATTATAAAAAATACTAAAAATAGCTTTAAAAACAACAACAACAAAACAATACAAAAAAAAAAAAAAAAAAAAAAAAAAAAATGGTATTTAGAATGATAATATGCATCACAAATATACACATACGCACAGTCGTGTGCAAAATTAACAGAATTTCCACATTATGACGAATTTCTGAATACCTAATTTACAGATTTTAATGAAATTTGTTATGAATATACATTTATAACAGAGAAAGAGATGCCAATATAAAATGACTTTTCAAAAATCATTTTATATTGGCATGATTAGCAGTAACGCTAATACAGCACGGATATCTAAAATCCACGTTGTGATATCGAACTGAAAATAAGTCTAATTAGATTATAAGTTCATCTCTCATAGCCAGATAGGTCGCGCAGCGTGACGGCAAACTGGACAGAAGGCAGCTGAGGAGTCCTTTTGGCTCCTACTCCTGTAACAAAGTAGTTTTAAAATCCGGGATGGCGAGATGAAATTGCCCTGTGAAGAGCATCCCAAACATGCTATATAGGGTTAAAATTAGAAGTTCTGACAAGGGTATTAACAAGGGATTTCTGCCCGTTTAAAGTCCATTGAGGGTAAAAACTTTGAAAACAGTGTATAACAGATACAATATACGTGATAAAGAAAAATTTCATTCAAACCCATTTTATTGAAGCATTGCATACCTGAATGGTAAAACCGCGGTCCAAAATAAATTAAACGGATGAACTACGAAAAGCTTTAATAGGCACAAGTAGAATATTTTGAAGATGAAGAATCAGTCTTCCCAAATTGAGTTTTATAACCGGCCGTGGATGAGTTAAATAAATGATGGTTTTACTATTGATTAGTATGCATTTGTTTTGGTTCCCGGAAATCTGAACGTAATTCACCTTTAAGCAGTTCATACTTAAAACCCTGCAAGTGGCGAAGCCGTACATTCAAAATATTTGTCATGATATCTTTAATTACTCAGAAATGCATCTTAAAATGTGTCCAAACAATTAACGAGTATAGAAAGGATCCAAGATGCAAACTGAGAAGGTAATTTTGTAAGTATAATCAAGAAAATACCACTTACTCATCATCTTTTGGGGGATTTTGTAGCCGCACACATGTCCGCTTGGAGTATTAATTCAATACACCATTCGGATAAAATGTAATCACATTAATATACAGTTTTACCCTTAAATTTATTATACATGTTAACATGTATAAAATGAACATAAAATGAAATTTACTTTTCATTGTTAACTAAGGAATGGAACGATGTTTAAAAATGAATACTTCAGTGCATAATTTGGTGAATTTAGATGAAACTGTATACAAGTTTTCGAAATAATTTCTTTTTTCTAATTAATTTAAAGTAGCGGTGGCTTTTCAAAACTCCTTGAATCCAGATGACAGTCGCTTTCATTTTAATCTGAAAGACTGCGTTCAAGATTGATTCCATTTATCCGAGGCTGCGCAATTGTCTATATTTTATTACTTAATAATCGTGATTTATGCTTAAAATTTCTTTTTAATTTTAACAGAGGTTCGGCTATTTTTGCAAGATCTTTGATAAAAGTAATATAATAAGAATATAAGCTTAATAATGAGGACAACGTTTTCGCTGTATTTGTTGGCGGGTGAATTTTTATTGAAATTACTTTTGGATTTTCCGTTTCGATTCCTTTCTGTGATATTTTATACACTAAGTAACGAAGTTCCTCGGCTGCAAACTACTTATATTTTGAAGCATTTATTTTTAAAATTTATTATTAAAAACAAACGTGTCTTTATTTAGAGGCGAAAACATATCGTGCAAAACTCTACCTCTTTTTGACATTAAACGGCATTTTATGACCACAGGAGTCTGTTAAGTTAAAATATATGAGATTCATTAAGTATATTTCTTCTTATTTAATTAGAAATACGTAATTCTCCGAATAATAATATTTCTATACACTGCAAAATATCCTTTATGAAAATAAACTAGATGAAATTAATTGATTATCGTTTCGAAATACAATTTATACCGTGTATTTATCCTTATTATCGCAAATTCTTGTTAATGATAAACACAAACCTGCCTCCACCAAATGGTCCCTTGTAGGAAATCGTCTCTTTACGGCCATGCTAATAGAGCGCAGAACCAGCACGAGAGCAACATTCAAATATCTCATCATAGTTCGTCGGAGGACGCGGCTTGTTTCGTCGGTGCCCGGCACGTAGAGAGAAATACTGTTCATCAACCTAATAAATTAGATTATTTCATTATAAGATCACTTGATACAGCTATCAAATGAGATTTCAAATTTTGTGTATCAGAGTTACAATACTTAAGCTTTATTTAATATTCATAAATTATAAATTCATTGCATGTTTCCTGAAGGTTTATTAGTCGATTACCTTATAATAACGTCATTTCTTATTGTAATTCAGATTATTGGGTACTTGACTGTAAATAGGAAGTATAAATTTTTATCTTGAAAGTGCACGTAAGAGAGTTAATATTCGCACAGGAGTTATCCTTTTGTTCACTGAATTTCATCCAAATCATTTTAACTCTTCCAATATCACGGTTAAATTCGACATATTTAAAAATTACAGTAGCGGGCCATTTATTGGATTATTTTCAGTAAGGCTAATTCATCCATTACATCAGCACTTGTTGTTACTACACATTATTTATGTTTAAGTAACCATATGAATTTGAAGGTAAATCCAAGTTTAGAGTTAATTATTTTAAGAACTTTTGACCATACATCTGTTAATTGTTCATTTAAAATTATAGTTTTGATATTTATTTTGGAGTCTTACATTAACAAGTTCTTAGCCATTTAATTATTCTAAGTTGTGCAAATGAACTGACGAATTTTGTGAAGACAATTGCATTGCATATAGACATAATAACTATTTAAAAGGGGGATTTTGTTTTGTATTTATGTGATATATGAATGTCTGTGTAAGACGCAATTCCTTTTGACTGTCACTTCTGCTTGTGATATTCACCGCTTACAGCTGGAACTAATACACTGCTTCAAAAGGTGTGTCAAAGCATAGAATTGGATCTAGTAAAAGGTGACTTGGCTTTCTATTGTTTTCCAGCTCTAACTGAAGGAATTTTGTTTTTTGGCTGATACTCAAAACAGTGGTACCGTAAAACTCTAGAGTTTAACCTATGATTCACCGCAGACTTGCGAAATTTGTCTTTACGTTTCAGATACACGACCTAAAATTAATTCGAATTACTTAGGTAAACATGTACGCTTTATCGATGTTCTCAAAAGTAAAAAAATAACTGTTAAACAGAGAATTTCATTTGTTCAATTAGTATTTTTTTTCCAAGTTTTCGTTGCCGTTTCTTGGCAAAATCCGAAAGTAGGCCTTAAAATTAATTCAAATGGTCAAACATGTTAACAAACATATAAAATTGTTCTTTATTTTACTATTAAACTTGTCTTAAACTTTAAAGTACTTATTTTGTTCATTTCTCTGTAAATCTGATATGATATTATGAAATTATATTCTTTCTTTGAGCACTTTGTAATGTATTTTGCAGTAATTTACAAAACAGACAACCTTCTTAGTAGAACATAAATTTTATTTCTAGTTCACGGTGATAGACAAATTTTATACAATTCTTAAGTGGCAAAGTTTTCATACTACTCCTAGCTGGTAATATCTTCAGAATTCTAATCTTTTTAAAACAATATCTCCCGTTGCTGAGTAACGGTTTAATACAAATATGGCGTTGCCACTTCAACAATAATTATATTTATTTATTAAATAACAAGATATTACAACCTACATCATAACTTCTGCCCAACTTTCAGTCTTCCATTTTCCCTCGATTAAAATAAGCTTAATCTCCATTTATATTTTGCTTGATGAAATACAGTGCTCCTTTTACTAATTAAAAACTTTTAAAAGAACGTGTTTCTCTAAAAGCAATTTTATTTTACAAAAAATGATATTAAGTGATATTTCATTATACTTCAATTTGTAATAAATGGATGACGTCAAGTAAAAACTGATTTGTTTAGACTCTTTTTATTTATAGCTATAGGTGGCCTTTAGAGAACTCTTATTTTCTATATGATGCTCCATCGAGAATTAATCTAATTTAATATTCTTCATTTGAAGTCCGAATAACATATCTGTACATTAACAATATGATATACCTAAATACAGACCCGAAGCCTTATAATAAAGCTTACGGCTCACTTAATTCGAAGCCAAACCTTCTCAATGATATAATTATTGCTTTCGCTTCTTGTTCTGTGCCGCTTATGGTTTTAATTTACTTGAAGTGCAGTGTTTATAATATTGATTTTTGATAAATTAATAAATATTTTTGCATAAAGGTATTAAAATTGCATAAAAGTAAAAGCTTGTATAAATATTTTTTTCATTTATTTTTGTGTTAACATCTATAATTGGTATAATTGATTTAAATAACTTAAAATAATATTTAATATAAGGTCACATATCCTAAATGTAAACATCATAGCCACTTTTAACAATTCATTATTCTGCAGTTTGGAGATCAGAGCAGTTTAGGATTTTCTTACCATCATAATGTATATTATATAAACAATATTTAAACTAAGTTTTTCCTCTCGCCAACTTATATACATATTAAAAAAAAAGAATGTTCAAAATTTCGATAGAGGTTTTCAGAGGTTCCGCATGAATTAGTGTCCCCATAGCATGTTTAACTATTTTTAAAATGTTTTCCGTTTGTCTATGTGTCTGTATGTGTACGACGATTTTTCGTTCGCGATAATTCTTATATGAAATTTTAAAAATTTCTCTTTACTTAAACTTTCTACATTCATACTGTTACGAAATGTCCAGGCGCGGTAAGATAGCTTTTCCGCAAAGCAGGTATAGGGTTGCCATAAAATGGCAAGGGAATGCAAGGTTGCCACATTTGGCGAGAAATCGCCCATTTAACGACAAAATTGGCGATATACCATGGACGGATGGAGAACCTTCTGGAACGAATTCTTACCGGTTTAGCCCAGAATGTTCTCGAACACAAGCCAAAAACTATATAAACCCTGCTGGTACGCGGAGAGTCAGTTCAGTGCGAGATAGTTAGTCTCGAGTTAGTCAGTCCGCGCGAAGTCGATCGAGTTGACAGCCGAGCAGGGAGTGCCGAGTGGGTCGTCGAGTGCATCAAAAAAGTCTCTTAGTGCATCGTCGAGATAGTGTGTTAAGCTCCGATAACGACTGAACCGAAGAGTCGGGAGCTGTGCTTTGTGTGTCGTCGAGTGCATCGCGAGTTGCAGCGTGGAGAATCTCGAGAGTACGTGGAGTTCCGAGAACGACCAAGCAGAGTCGGGAACTGTACTCTGGTGCTTTGCAGTGAAGTTGTCTTCACCGTTGTAGCCTGATTGCCTGAAAGTTGTGTCGCTGATTGTTACAGCGTGTCTATAGTAGTTCTTCAACGACTTTAAAAACGTGATTTGAAAACTGTTTTGAGAACAGTAGCTAACAAAGTATGTTTTGATACTTCATCAAGTGTAGTCGTTATTCACTCCAAATCCGCAGGAACCCCGTAACGTATGAAAGTAAAGGAAAAGAAAATTACGTAACAATATAAAGAACTGATTAGGTTCTGGGTAAAATTAGAAAAAAAAAAATGGTACTTTACAGAAAGTTCTTTAATTAGCAACCGGAAGCGACACTTTAACTTGAAACCCATAATCGCTTTTAATGAAAATCTGTGTTAAAATGTAATTCGAAACTTTTCACCAAAAATGTACTTAAGAATTTTATATGAATGGGAACAACATACACTGGTGTGCAAAAATTAAGGACGAGACGGTTTTTTCAATATAACTTTGTACAAAAGCTTTCCAAATCAACACATTTAATACCGTAAGATACCCAATACGTAAGGACATGAGAAATGTAAGCAACACTACTAAAAGAGAAATCAGAGGGATAAAAAGAAGCTTTATTGAAAAAGTAGCATGGAGCGCAATGCGACTGAAGGCCGAAACATCCCTGTGATGGGTGTCCAGCAAGAAACATCCGGTCTTTAATAGGGTATATGATCTCCCCTAACTGCTAGGCAGGTTTCACAGCGTCTGCCCATGCTGAGAATGAGGGTGTCAATGAGTTGTTCAGGCATTGCTGTCCATTCGTCTTGCAGCGCCAATCGAAGCTCCGGAATCGTTACTGGTGGTAAGGTACGAGCTGCCAAGCGTTTGCCTAGAAAATCCCATACACGCTCGATGGGATTGAGATCCGGAGATCGTGCCGGCCAATCCATACGTTCAATATCCTCACTCTCTAAGAGCTGTTCGGCGCTACTGTGCGATGACATGGTGCATTGTCGTCCATGAAAAGGAACTGCGGACCCATAGCGCCTCTAAAATGACGCACATATGGAAGAAGAATCTCGTTACAATAACGGGTCCTGTTGACTGAACCTGCGTCGAAGATGTGAAAGTTCTCCAAGAACGACTACCAAGCATGATGCCTCCCCAAACAAGAACACCGCCACCTCCATACCTGTCCCTTTCAATGATGTTCGAGGGATGATTGCGGCTTCCCCGCTCTCTCCAGATGAGTATGCGATGAGAATCGCTACTCGGACTGAATCTGCTCTCATCTGTAAAGAGTACTCGTCCCCATTCATTGTCTCTCCAATTCCGGTGTTCCCGGCACCACAGAGAACGCCTTCTCCGATGGGCAGGCGTTAGAGGTACACACCGTACAGGGCGTCGTGCAAACAGACCACCACCGTGCAGTCTTCTGGCCACGGTAAAACGCGATATCGGTCGTCCAGTCGCCTGTGTCGTGTGTCTAGCGATTTCTCCCGCTGTCTGCCGCCTGTTTCTTCTGGCCTGTAAGGCAATATACCGGTCATATGCGGGTGTGGTTCCTCGTGAATGACCACTACTAAACCCCGGATAGCTGTTCCTGTAGTTTGAAATTGTCTCCAGTCGAAGTCGTGAAACGATGCTGTGAGCAATTCCGAACTCTGCAGCCACACTTGTCACACTTCGGCCTTCCTCCAACTTCCCAATGATTCGACCTCGGGTAAAAGCATCCAGATGTCGTCTAACAGATTGATTATTCGCCATTTCTCGCTGAGGCAGCAACTCAGTGTGATTTTAACTGCTATACGGCGTGCAATCTCTTTGCCAGAAATACTGATATTACACCGACAACATGCTTTATACTACTCAGACACTCCCCCATTACGTCTACCTGCATATCTGCACATGTGCTACCGTACATCACCTTACTTAATCTCCTGATTGGTCTTTCTGTCCGCTCTGCCTCTTTGTTCAGCTGATATGCTAATTTTTCGACTTCGTCCTTAATTTTTGCACACCAGTGTATTAGATTTTGGCTAAAATTGATAAGGTGAAGTGATACTTAAGTGATACTATACTCGAAGTACTGAATAGACTTTCGTAAAAAATATTATAGGATAATCCATAGCTTCTCATATTTGGTATTTAAAATATGTATGTGACTGAGAACAACATATTACAATTATTAGCGTTAACTGTATTCTTAGAATTATGCTAAATGCAACAAAAAAAGACTCATTATGAAAAAGAACTCTCGTTATAAAGAAATTAAATGTATTAATATACAGTAGCAATTAAATAAGATAGCGAATATAAAAAATATATGGCAGCAATTGACACTCTGTAAGGAATTCTAAAAATATGCTCATTTTAAAGATTTTGTTGTTGGATTTTATGTGGCGTAAGTGCAAAAGAAAGCAATAAATGAAGCCATAATGAAAAATAAAATAAAATTGTACATCTTACTAAGAAAACTGATCACTGATATCACAAGCTGAGAAAACGCCGAAAAAGAAATGCATTGTAACACTAAACACTGTAGTGTTTAGTGTTCTAAAGAGATGCTGCTTTCAAAAATTTTTTTTGATTGTTGAGTCATTGATTTGCAAATCCGAAACATTATATGACGAGAGGATATACTACGCCTGATGCGACATTTTCAAACCAAAGTATCAGAACGGATGTGTATATAAGCACGTATAGTTATCATTGTATGCGAGAATAGAATAACAAAAAATGAATAGTGTTTATAATTATCATTGAGCCTTTAAGTTTTAAAACAAATTCGATTTCATCTACAGACGATAAACTGGAAGCGGTAATTTTCCTAGAGCTCGTTGATCGTTGGAGGTCATGTGCATCCGTAGGAGGTCACATCAGAATTTTTTCATAAGAGATGATAATTCAAAAGGTTTTTTTTTAGCACAATGTATTTAATACCTAGTATACTAGAACTTGAGAATTTGCTGCGAAAAATTCGCTAATACGCACTATGCAGAAGAATGCTCTTTGTAGACTTTTCGTTACAACTGTTAAGTCGAGCAAATAATTCTTTTTGATAACAATGGCTAATACATTAAAGATTCCTAAAAGAGGGATTCTTACATTCATATCTATTTCTGTACAATTATTACTGATGGATATTTTAAGAAATTAAAATTCTTCTAATCTCCTAATCTCCAGTCACCCTTTTAAAAAAGGGAGGCGTATAAGATATTTTCTTCCTCCTTCCAGCATGCCTTCGTGGTGTAACGGTAGTACACTCGACTCGTATTCGAGAGGTCTAGGTTCGAGTTCCGGCGAGGGCATTGCACATTTTTCACGTCTTCTGTTGCTGCTTTTTTTTAAAAAAAGTAATGACTCTACGAAATTACGATTTTAAATAGTGCTCCAGAAAATTTGAATTGCAGATTGAGAAAGAAGTGTTTGTACCTATGGTAATAAAATCTTTTCAAAACTATTGAGATGTTTCTGTTAATTTTAATCTAGACCTTCTAGATAGCTCCAGATGATTTAAGATATGAATTTCATAAAAAGAATTAAAAAATTAAAACTTACTTATCGGGCCAAGGAATGGCTGTGTATTGGTTCCACCATCTTGTGGCAATAAAGGAAACATAAAATCCTAGAACAAAACCCAAAGGAATGAGGTCCATGAAAGTTGAGCAAAGAAACACGATTCTTTCGAAAATTCTGAAAAATGCAAAAATTAAAATATTAATTGTGAAATATTAATTGAACATTTAAATTTAAATAGTTTTTCGAACCTTTAAATTTTAAATTACAGGCTTGAGAAAAGGGTAAATCTTTGGGCATTTCACTTCATCGATAAGCAAATCGTTTATAGATGCATGACATCAAAGTGAAGAAAAAAGTACACGGTAATATTTCAGACAATCCCATATACCGATAAAAATCGAAATTTAGAGTTAACTAATAAAAATAGAAATTCTCGAGCTGAAACGTTTGTGGAAAAATAAAATTAGTAATTCTTTGGAACTTAAAAGCTTTTTAAAGAGGGCTGAGAATTAGTAACAATGAGTGCTTACCAGTAAGAAATTATTTCGAGATGAACGTAAAGACAGATGGAGCATGGTTTGCTCCAATCAGAATTGCACAACTCATATTTGTAGTTGAATGTGTAATTTATTAATAAAATAGCTTCTGGTGGTGATATTTGAAAATAATTTTGTTTTTAGCTAAATATCGTTCCCATACCTTTGCTTTGTAATACACAATGATTCACACTTTTCTGATTAACGGTTACCGTTGAAGGTAGGTTTGAGTAGAGAAAGCTTAATTATGGACACCCTGTATATATATTGCATAACAACCGCTAGTTATGACAGCCACGTCTAGCTACGAGATTTCAGTTTATAAGCTGCTTAATTTATCTTCGAAACAGGCTGCAAAAACTCGTTTTTAGTTTCGCTATTCGGCAAAATGTAAAATATTAAATTTATCATTTGAATTTAATTCGTTGTGGAGCATCTTTATTTAAACAATTATTACGATTTTAGTCTTTATTTTAACTTCCTTTCCATATTAATCATCAGAATTCAAATTAGTTTTGAGTATATTTAAGCTGAAGGTTTTGAATATTAGAGAAAGATCTGGCAATCGGGTCTGGCTGTCAGTATTTTACGGAAGCATTGATTGAAAGTGGAATTTCGGCTTTAACATTTTCGCTAGCCAATGAGTTAAAATTTAAGTCGGTAAAACACCTATTCAGCCAGCTTACTATATTGATGACTACGTTACGAACGTTTGAATTTAATTGCCTGTTATTGTTAATTTGAATAGCTACAAGTCGTGGTTTCGTGTGTAAGCACAAATTGTGCTTTATTTTCACTTTAAAATTAAAATAAGAAGGTTATTTTAAACCGTTTTCAGTACTTTGTGAGTATCCAAGACAGAAACAACTCGTTCTCTGTCTAAGAGGAGTGTCTACAGTATTTTACAGCTTCAGTTACGAGAGCAACTATATACAGTCTATATAACTGCTCAACAAATTTAAGCGATTTAAAATCAATAAACGCATTAAATGGATTAAATCTTTGTTTTGCTTTTTAATAACATATCTGATTACTATATATTACTTCGTTTAACTATATATGTTAAACGGATATACTATTAAAATTTTATGTATATATATTTTATATTATATCGCATTCTGCCATAAGAGTGACAAGTTGGTTTTAAGTTCAAATCAGCTACGTGTGAAACGCTTTGGAAATTTTCACTTTTGTTTTCCAGTCAACTGACTAGAATATGCATATGGGTAGAATATTAATATTACTAACGGTCATCTACATTCTCCTTTCTTAAAACAAAATAATAGACTAAAGGTAAAAATCTTTAGAAACAATTAGCATGAAAAACAGCCAACATGACAACTATTATTGCCTAATATACTTCTTTGAATACAAACGTCATTATGGATTCAAAAGTAAAAGAAAACGTCTATTTAAATAATTTTGCAATGGCTTACGAAAAACAAGTATCTATTCAGATTAAACTAATGGGAAAAAACTGTAAAATTTATATTGAAAATGTACCGGTAAAAGTGTCGGACAAAAATTTTGAATTTAAAGTACAATTAGTAAATTTACATTATATTAATTTTAATATTCAGTAGCTGAAGTGTTTTCACCACTTTTACTTCCTTGTAAATGAGCTACTGTAATCGCGAAAAGTTTCGGGTATTATATTTCAAGGGAAATATCGATTTTGACCGCTCTTGAGTCTATTTGAAAGATTTTTTTTGCGTGACATCTGTACGAACGGTCAGAAAAAAAGGACTCTTTTTTCCAATATGTATTGTAAAATCGATTCAGAAGAGTTTTTTATTTTCGTGACGTGTATATCTCGCATAATTCAAATATGAGTAATGAAACTGCTATAACATGTAGTTGCGTACCTCCCTTTTTCATTTTAATCAGCCGCACCAAACTTATATAGATATATATGTGTATATATTCCTACTCTGTTACCCGGTTCGGTGAGCTCATTCATTTTTATTCTTATTTGTTTAGTAAATTGTGCATGTTTTGTTTTAAAAGTGATTGAATTATGTTGTTCTTATGTTCCGCTCAAGGTTTTTATGCTTTTAGTTAATCTACATGCAATAGTTGTAGATTTATTAACAATTTAAAAGTTTAAATGGTTCTAAGCCTAACGAAGCCGCCATCTGTTTACATTTGAAACTTATTAGAACAGTGAATTAAGTTAGTGGTGTGCCAACTTCAGGGTCTTTTTGCTCAGCGGGACCAAAACTTAACTTTCAGTTATGTGTACCGAAAAACTTGTCTTCTTGCTCACTAGGTGAATTGCTTATTGTTAAGTAGAAACTGGAATTTTCATTGCAAAAAAATTTAACTATTTTAAACGGTATTTTGTGTTTTAGGTTTTTCTGTATTTTATAGTTTTTAATGAAATGTTTTATGTATTTTTTCCTTGCCGCGAAGTGATTCTGAATTGATTAAATGAGAAATATATATCTAATGAATATCTGGGAAATAAGTTTAAAAGAAGTGCAGCAAGAAATGGGTATAATTTAGTAGGCCGTACAAGGAAGTCATATGGTGTCCATATCAGATATTTTCCTATGCAAAAGAAAACATATGTTCTTCCCCTTCAGTCCTCAAAAGTAATCTTTTCGATATGGTGAATAGTGGAGCTGGTTGCCTTATCTTTGAAGGCTCGAGTTCGAAGGAGAGGTCAAAGATGTGTATGATTGTTTAACTCTCTTCCTGAATGTGCTATATCGGTCCCCTTGTGAGCAAACGTTTCGGTGATGCGATGGCTAAATAATTGCAGTAATTTGCGAATTAATTTGATGAATGCTTAAGAAGCAAATTGCCGAAGGGTTACACTGAATAATGTGGATGATGTCATGAATGACAAATTTATAAATATGTATTAAACAAAAACATTACTGATATCAATCATATCACGATAAAGGAATAAAATAAAATATTTTATACATGGAGTATTCGTAACATGTGTCTCTTTATACATGACCAGGAAAACTTTATATATGACGCATGTTGAAATTTGAACGACAGCAAACAATTTTATTTAATATTTTCCTCATAAATTCTGTCATTTGACAGTCTTTGCCAAGCAGATGCAATTTCAACAGTTTTGTAAAATTACCATTGCCTAACATTTGAAACTACCACTTGGGAATGAAACATACTATGCATTTGCTGACATTCTCAAAAAACTGAACGTACTCATGTAGCTATAAAAAGTTATTCATTAATGATTGCAGTCTAAAGCTGTACATCTAGGGGAGTGATATCCATGTTGACTTCGTTCAAATGCATTAGACAATCAACAAAAATAGCATTAACAATTTATAGGATAGAAACATTATTTTCAAGAAATCTGCATGCGAAAATTTTCTTTTGTAGAGTTTGGCAATATTTTTAATTGTGGGTCAAAAATTGCAATCGATGATATCTCTTGTTCATGTTATGAAGAAATAGATGGGGGAAAACGGAAATAAATTTGTACTGTCACACTTGATATTTTCTGAAGGAATATTATATCTACTAAATCTTTAATAGCCGAAGCCTCAATGCCTTATACTAGCCAGCTATTCTCTAGTTTTGAACTTTGGTCTTGTTGGGGTAATTCTTTTCACATAAGCAAATAATTTAAGTTTTATGTCTGAAAAACTGATGTAGACCCAGTACCATCTGCACATATTAAGTCATCATCACATATTAATAGAAACTTTCTGTTTTCTTTTTTCACTTCATAATAGTCTATAAACTTGAGGATAGAATTTTGTTTTTCTGTCAGTCCTCTGGGCATTTATGATGCGCTTAGTGGTTATTCGCATTCTAGGTGTAATAACTACATCTTCACAGGTTCACCGATTTCGCCAAAACTCTGCCTAATTACACAAGCCTGTAATTCCTGGGTTTTATAACTTCTGATAATTGATTCTTAGGTATCTTTAGCGTAAATTCGAAAACGACCTTCATGTTTTATCACCAGGTCTAGATTTTTCACAAACTGAAAATTTCAGAATTGTTTAAAAGTCGAATAATTGCGAAATAAGAGACTTTAAAATAGATATGAAATGTTTTTTACTTATAGTTTATTCCTTTTTTTTGGCTTATTCTATGCATTCTTATAGGAAACCAATTGAGGTGTCTGATGGTGTAAGGAGCAATTGACTCCTTAAGGTTTCAAATGAAAATTGCCATAAATGAAGCTATTTTTCGATTTTACTGAATTTTTCATTTATTTCTATTAATTTCTTTAATTTTTAAGAGGTACATTTGACTTTCGAATCCACCTCTTCCCTCCTCTTCCTTCAAATGTTCCTTAGCGAATCTAGAAAAAAAAAATTAATCGAAGGTGGTGAAACAGTGGGAGACTTAGCCCTCCATTGCAAAGTACATGTGTGGAGACAACAGCTTGGCCGAAAGTACAAGTTATTAAGATTTGTTTTGTTGTGACAAGTCTTAATATGTTTATTGGCAGCTGTCCGCGCCTCTAAAGCACTGCGCAATATCAGTGCTGTTTCAACAATCAGCTATTTTTATGCGTAAATCGGGTTTTCCTCGTTCCTCCGTGATCTAATGCGTTTTTGTTCATGGAACATTTATTTTCATGCTCTATTTTGCCATGGAAATTTTCCGCTTTTTAAATGACTTCAAGAGACTGTAAAAAGT